AATCAGTGTGCACACAACACTCAAGTTCTGGAACAAGACTAAAGTCCGGAGGTGGACGAACAACCAGACCCTTCCGCTACACTTTACAGCCGGTGAATGTGAATGAGAATCGGACAGGATTGTGGAGCACGGTGATAGTGACAGCATATTTCCGTAGATACACACTGGATTCAAAAATTATTAAGGCAGGCGGCACACTGGCTAAGAATGGAGAACCTTTCCGGCGTTTTGTGTTGAGGTCGACCTTCCCCAAAACGCTTGCTAGGCAACAGAATAAAATTCAGCCAGGTTCATTCAGCGACAACGTGCGTTGTTGGGTAGCAGTATTTTATATTTTATATAACGTCTGAATAGAAAAACATAAAAGTACTGAAATTTACAGCAGAAACCAGTCAAAGGTGTCTTAGAAAAGAAAATTGGTCATTCAGTAAAGCAAACAATGAAATGACAATCTATGCATACACTCTGTATTGCTGAAGCATGCAGAATTTTGAAGGTAATAAAGACAACACAAACGAACCCCATCAATCATACAATGAGCGTGACTTGCTAAACCCTGGCAAGGACGCTTATGACTCTATCTAAGTCTATAGTTGTTTTCCTGCTTTGCTACCGTGTCTGTCGGCTAAACATCATAAATTGTCCCAGCACAACAAATATTCGTGTCTGGATTTCCCCATCAAGTTACCGCTGAATTCAGCAGAACTGTACACACCTTTAAACGGTGTGTTTCACATTACAGCCGAATTGTTGAGTCTGAAGACACGATGACGCGTTTCTCCTGTCTCTCTGTTTTGTTCAGCTTGTTAGCGATGCTTGTCACTGGGCAAGGTAAGAATATCCTTATTCTAATGTTCATATACTTGCATTATTAGTGCTTGAGAATAGTATATTTTTGGGGGGTATTATACCGTAGAAATTTTCATATGTAAACTGAACACACGCGAGGAAGAATAATGTATAAACGTGATCACGCTTGGCTTTGTGATACAATTCTAGATGTTACAGGAGAAACGCATACAAAACTGCACAGGCAGATTGGGCCAGTGTTCCAAGATCCTTCTGTTCACACGCTTCTGTAAAATACTGATGCAGACATATTGTTGGTCTATCACAACACAGAAGATCATTCTCAGAGTGCAAACACGGATCTGCAGCAGGGATAAAGCAAATCATGGACCACGCTCAAAGAATTTTTTTTTTAAATATTTTTAAAAAAATTAAAATCATTGTTTTCCATCCAGCGTAGCAGTCTGTGAGATTAATATATAGCACAGTTATACTGATGCGCCACAGTTCGGTTCAGCAATAACTTGTAGTGCAGCGTTCGTGAGTCTGTTCATGTAAAAACAAAACGTTTCTAAGTGAACGTAAGACAACGGTGTTCTCGTCTTGTGTAGTGTCAGCAGTTGGCCCTCTCAAAGAAGGACACGTGGCTAAAACGCTGTCAACAGTCCCACCCCTCCCTCCACCACCCGCCCCCCCCCCTTTCTCTAGCCCAAAGTGCCAGTCATAAAACACTTTAACAAGTTGGTTCCCATTTTTATAAACGCCCTCCTAAATCATCAATAACAATTGAAAAACAATTTTTAAAAAATGCAGGATGCGTAGAAAACATCTTCCGTCTCTTGAGGCTCACCCCTCCCCCTTTTTTCCCCCCAGTTTTGTAAGGCGTCTTACCAACACCCTTATCCAAATATTGTTTTTCATAAATGTGTTGTAAATTCATTTCTTTTTCAACACTATCCCGTAACACTGCTGTCGTTGAGTCACCAGTTTTTTGTTGACTGTCTGATCAGCTATCTCTCCTCCTTTGGAGGTCAGTTGCGATGGACTTCATGTCTGCAATTATGAGGCCTGTCCAGTCAGTCATGTTCTGTATAATGTCAGGTCTTTCTTGATCAGCCTCTTCTCCTCCTTCCCTCTACAGAGGCCTGCAATATTGTTTTTGAGAGACCGTTAGATCATATGACATGTCCATCCCATTGCATTTTTCGTCTTTCCACTGTAGTTAAAAGAGGTTCATAGCTGCCTATGTGCAGTATAATTATATGACGAATCTCTTCGTTTGTAATGTGTTCTCTGTATGATATGCCAAAAAATATTTCTGAAACATCGCATTTCTAATGATCGGATCTTTCTTTCATGTTAAGTTGTTAAGGTCCGCGTTTCACAGCTATATGTAAGGATACTAATAGCTAGTGATCTAAGCAATCAAATCTTAGTTTGATATGAAATGTTTTGGATCTCATATTGTTTGCTGTTTGGCAAGGACTGACATTGTCTGGGCAATCCTAGACATAATTTCTGGTCTTGACCACAGGTCACTTAGAATGGATCCTAAATATTTGAAATCATCGACTTGTTACAGTGAAGTTATGCCAGCTGAATTATTAGTCCTTATTTGTGGGGGTTTTTTCTGCTTTTATTTCCATGCCATACTTGGTCAATGTTTCATTGAGCAGATTTACAAGCTCGACTAGCTCTTGTACATCCCCGGCCAACTCATCCATGTCATCTGCAAACCCTAAGTTTGTTATAGTTCGATCTCTTTTACTAAATGTTCCATGATGTTTTTCTAGGGCATCAGTCATAATTCTTTCTAAAAAGATGTTAATCCGTGTAGAGGAGAGGAGGCAGCCCTTACGGACTCCTTCTGTTGTTCGGAACCAGCTCCCTATTTGTCCGTATAGCGTGACAGCACTGCTGGCCTTGGCATAAAGCTGTTCTATACTACGTATGCGGGTTTTACCCATACTGTACTTTTTGTGTTCCTGAGCGCGGTATGCCATACTCTATCAAAGACATTTTTTAAATTAACTAATTTATGTTATTGTTGTTGTTGTTACTAGGATTTAAAAAATATGATCAAAAATTTCCCTGCACTCGTTAAATTGATAGCAGCAGTACTCTTAAAGAGATCGATTGTTTTCAAATGTGGACGATGGATCTCTCAGTTAAAAACCATACACTCAGGATGGCACTAGATATTACCCTTATCCCCAGTCCTCTTCAATATTTTCACCTCAGGTGACAAAATATCAAATCACAGTTAAAGGAAGAACATTCTCATACGCTGATGACATACTTGTGTACCGCCAAGGCAAGAACTAGGACATAATTTTGGAAGAACTCCGGAAGGAACATAAACGCATAGCAGATTGGTGTCAAACCTCTGGTTCACGAATTTACCCTGAAAAAGCGACTGCAACTTTGTTCTCTTTGAACAGACACATAGTACACACAACAACGCCCTTCTGTGCATATGAGTAGTGAAGAGATAGCAACGGCTGAACTTTTAAAATACCAGCTTCCAAGTTGATACTATGATCAGTATTTCCATAAAGGGTTTGATTGCAGTGAGAGTTAAGGCTGCCATGAGGGGTCAACAAAAGCCTCTACTCATCCTCTATCAGGGATTTATCCTCTCTATCATACAAAAGCTGCTACTTATCCTCTATCAGGGATTTATCCTCTCTATCATACAAAAGCTGCTACTCATCCTCTATCAGGGATTTATCCTCTCTATCATAGAGTATGCACACTGGCAATCCTCACACTTAAAACGTACAAAATGAAGCAAAACGCGTCATACTTGGCTGCACCAAAGACACATCATTTTAGAGCAACGAGATACCTACTAGATCTTCCAGATATGCGATAACGTGTGCTTACCTCCAAATTACTAAGGTCTTTATATACTCACTGCATTATGAGCTCAATACACATAAAGGCAACAGTCCTAAACGAGGCCAGTCTTGGTTGGGCAGGGCAGAGACAGTACTTCAACGGGTGATTTCAAAACATAAACCGTGAATAGGAACGGATACTCATACCAACCTGAAAAAAAGCAGAAGATTGTGGTGGTGATCACCCTGACAAGACAGTGCCCTGATTTGGCGCCACCAATATTTGATACAGAAGTGAAAGCGTTGGTGGAGGAATACACATCAATGGAAGATTTCTGTTATTTATACAGATATTTCTGTGATTCGTCAGAAGCGAAGTGCATGGGCTTTCACTGCAAGAACCAACGAGAAAGTCATTGAAGTAGATAATAGAGCCTTTGATTCTACCACCAGAGACATGACAATGGAGGTAATGGCTGTGACAAAGGTCCTAGAATGGCTGAATACGCTTGTTTGGCGAGGATTCAATGAGCATGCTAAAGTAGGTCAAGGTGCTGGGTACCTACTGAAACAGTGGCTCTATCTGATACAGCACTCAGTGTTTCGCAAAATCACCTTTAATTTTGTCCCAGGTCATGCTGGTGTGAAAGACGATGAGAGAGCAGACAATCTGGCTGGCAGTGCGACTATTATGAATGGGCCCTCTATGGACAGGAGAGACATCATCAATGCCACAAGAGAGACTAAAAATGCTGTGAGGCTTTCAGTTTCGAAGAAAATGATTTTTCACGGAATAGACTGTTTACCCTGGGTGTTCCAATTGGAGCCGCGAGACAGGAAAACCAAACGGCAGCCACCCATCGTTATATCAGTGATAGGAGACATACTTAGGAGGAGAATGTAGCACTTATGGTCATGTCAGATGTGGGATGAAGCTGATCTCAAATATAAATAGTAAATAAATATTGTGTAGTCGGCATTGGGTACACACATCTGCATCAAGAGTGATTTTGACTGTTCGTTAGCACCACAGATGTACAAGTAGTAAAGTGGTTACACGGATTTCATTGTGATCTAAATGTCTAAATTAGATAGCGATACAATTCAAAGTGCTACAGGAAACAAAATAATTGGAAGACTTAGCATTACTTGATTGACAGTTTTTATTTCATCGAAAGATAGACTGCAGAATACTAATAAAACAACAACAAGGAATTCGCAGTAGCGTGGCGGCAGGTGCTACTGTTTTGGTCCCGGAGCTATGAGTTCAATTACCATTTGACGTTCATAATGGAACTTCTTTACAACCATTGAAAAACACCTTACTTCCTGTTTTCACTTTCTTCCTCCTGTGTTTTTATTCAGTAACAGGCCCATGTGGTCGGTACAATGTTTGCCTCAACGGGATGTGCGATCCTCAGTCCAGTCAATGCGTATGCGACGCAGGCTTCATTACAGACCCCATCAACCCGCTACAGTGTCTCCGTAAGTATTTTCAGTACTTGACATTTTCTGTACTAAACAGTGTACCATTCATTTATTAAAAAGTTACTTGGCTATTCTTTACAGGACGTTGCAGAACCAACCACAGCATTTTTTGGATGTTGTGGTTTTTTTCTAGGCAAATTTTAGGTTCAATAGTTTGCCATTGCCCTGCACGGTCAACTCTTGGTGCCACTGTCGAAACCAAAGCAAGACAAATCGCGCGAAGCTGGGATCGAACCCGGCACCCCGGCATTACGGAAGCTCGTTCGCAACACCTAAGCCCCAGACGCCGACACTATACATTTATTAGTTTGTGTAAAGCAGTGGTTTCCAGTGTGTGTGTGTGTGGGGGGGGGGGGGTGGGAAGTGGCTATTATGTATTCTCCCTGATACGTTTTGTGTTCTCTTTCACATACACTGTTTTTTTTTTTTTCTCTCACACGCACTGTGTTGTCTCTCTCACGCTCTGTGTTCTCTATCACATGCACTGTGTCAGCTGATCTGAATTTAAGGTGTCCTTGGCTCTGCTAATCCCCTTTCTTTATTTCCTAAAAAGAGCTCTATGCGGTGGTCGGTGACATTCTATTTAACTTGTAGACATTTGATTTAGCTTGACGACACTTTATGGAGCAATAAAATATTACTCCCTGCTCTAGATTACGACTAAAATGCATGGCCCCAGAAACAACGAAACACAAAGGAGTTGTGTACACTCGGTACCGGTGTCACGACCTCGTTCCGAACGTCATAATAGCAATTAAAGGCACTATTTAACTCTGCGCTTCCGTAACCCGTGTACTAGGGACACTGGTTTGTTGTACAATGCAGTTATTTGTTATTAAAAATTTCAATTCAAAAATAGGAACATCAACTGTATTGCTTGTATTTGTATTTTAGGGCTTTTTTTAAAAAACATCTAGAGCGCACATATCAAGAAATATACTATAGCTGTTTTTGAGCAGAAAAAAAGTAAAGATCAATTTTTACGCCTCATGCGCATCGAACATATGGGAATAGCACCCATATTTTTACAGACCATCGGCACTTGGTGGGTAATGTAGTCAGCATTACGCCGACCGTCCTTACTTCCCATGACATCCATCCTGGTACCCAATTTACGATGGGTTCACCTGCGACGCCCCATACCATGATAACAATCCACGCTTTTTAGCAGAAAGCAAAGAATATTATAGACTGATAGAAAAACAAAAATGACTGTCCTCATAAAACTGAGATTGATTAAAAACTGAGACCGGTTAGAGAGATAAGGCGAAGGCAGTCAATATTATCGGACATGTTAGCAACAAGAAAGCACCCAAGAACGTGGTTATAACAGACAATATTGATGGGAAAATATCAAGATGGAAGGCAGAGATAAAAGCCTGGATGACTTGGTAATATGGATGGAACACGGACCTGATCCAAGATTCTGGTGATCGCGTGAGATCTTGAAACATACTCGCCTAGGCGTGTCGGTATATGATGATGATGAACTTTAGCGTAATATTTTGACATAATTTTTGTTGAGATTACCATATTAACCTAGGCACTTTTCTATTCCTCTTCTTAAACGTTCAGAGGTTGTGACCTTAGGTAAAACTTTCTAGGTATCCGTTCACTCTAGACTCTTGTCTTACTCCAAACCTTGAGTTCTGCGTGCACATCCTCTTTACAGAACTGATTTATTTTTATGCGCACTTGGTCCCTCGCTTCTCGGGCAGATGCCCTCCCTCTTTGATGGAAACACCCCTAGTTAGTCGATTTTAACATTTTTTGGGGGGAGGAGGGAAGGGGCAGAGGATCAGTTATATTTTGTGTGTGAGTGTGTGTGCTCCGGAATCAACAGAGGGAAAGTTTGTGTGTATGTGTGTGTGTGTGCGTGCTCCGGAATCAACAGAGGGAAGGTTTGTGTGTATGCGTGTGTGTGTGCGTGCTCCGGAATCAACAGAGGGAAAGTTTGTGTGTATGTGTATGTGTGTGCGTGCTCCGGAATCAACAGAGGGAAGGTTTGTGTGTGTGTGTGTGTGTTTGTGTGTGCTCCGGAATTAACACGGGGAAAGTTTGTGATTATATGTGTGTGCTCCGGAATCAACCCAGGGAAAGTCTATGTGTGTGCTCCGGAATCAATACATGGCAAGCTTGTATGTATGTATGTATGTGTGTGTGTGTGTGTGTGTGTGTGTGTATGTGTGTGCGTGCGCCGGAATCAACACAGGGAAAGTTTGCTCAAGTAGGCTGAGGAGAAGCAAATTAACCAACGAATGAGTACAACAGTGGGGTGTCTCTTCGCGCCTTGAAGCGTATCAGACATATGGAACTAGTCACAAATTAGATGGGTGATAGGGTCAACATAACGCACACTGCCTTTACAAGTAGCAAGTTTAGGCTAAGTCTACATGGGGGTTCAGAACTTCTTGAAAATCGCCTGACGCAGACTTGAACCCATGACCACAGAGCCAACAGGCAAGTGTTTTAGACACTTAGATACCAAAAGCAAAACCCGTTTGTCTCACAACATTGGATGTTTAGATTTACAAAGAAAAAATGTATATGCCTTCGTTATTATTAGTAGAGAGGTTCGGACGTCAAGCCTTCTGGGACAAGGTGTACATACTCAGGGAATCTTAACTCACGTTGCACACGATAAATATATATATATATATATATATATATATATATATATATATATATATATATATATATATATGTATACAAGCACACTGAGAAACACACAGACACACACAGAAACAAACTTAATCTGTGTAATGATGATGTGTACATACATTTCTCACCATCACTTGTGCTACAGAGTAGGTGTACTGAGCTTAGATTCTACTATAGGATATAAGGTAGAAAGAATCTATAGCAAATATAGGGATGTTTACGTGTGCAAAGTGATCCTTGAGATAAATAGATAAAACAACAAGCCTAGATAAACACTCCATTTTCAAATTATGCGAAAACTGAGGCTGTAACACTCCGAGTGAGATCTTTAGGCCAGAGTTCATGGAACTTGCACACTAAATGCATTATCTCTGAGAAACTTTAGGATTTAATGAAAATACCAAAGTTGTCCGTTTCTATATGTGTGCGAAATATGAATCAATATGTCTCGGGGAATAGTGTCAAAGAATCGGATACAATCTGTTGATCAACGACCTTAAGTAATAGTTCCTTCAAAAATACATAAACCAATTTTCTCGAAAACTGTCTGTTATATCGCATTGCAGCCTCAGAATATCCATGACGATTAAAAAAAAATATTTTTTTCACTAAAGAAGCTTTTCATATGTAATTTTTTGTCTTTTTTACGATATAAATATTCTTATTATGAAACCGCCTTCGTAGACTTTTGGAAGGTTAACTTTCATTAGTTTCTTGACTTAGCTCAACTCAACCCAGCTGAACATAAATGACAACAATTAAATTTACTTTACCTATCAAAGTATTATGAAGACACTCCTCTTAAAAAAAAATAGAACCGAAAATTCAGATTTTTACTTAAAATCTTAAAGTTCTCTCCACTTATTTAAAATGGTTCGAAAAGATCAAAGGAATTGGCTGGTATTCAGCATCCTGAACATCTATGGACTAGAAAATACCATTATTTTTGCGTTATGGATCGGCTGCATGCTACCTAATAGGCAGTTTTCGAAAAATTGGCTTGCAAGTGTGTTTATGAGATGTTGAACGAACTATAGTTGCGTATCCTTTACCGAACGTTGGAGAAACATCCGTATCAACCACAACGGTCTCATGGTTTGTCTAGGCAAACTTAAATGTATTAATGAATGCTTCAAAAGATAACTTGTATACGTTGTTGTGCTTATTGCCTACCATAATATACATTTTCTAGCGGCCATTCAGACTGGCTTAAAACCTATTAGGGAAAGGTTGAAGTTGCTTTAGCGTCAGATTTTGGCGCCTAAGGTAATGTAAGAAACGCATACAGAATTTTAAAATAACGGCACTTATGTGTGTGTATACTCTGATTATGTTTTTGTTCTCTTGACAGACAACTCCGTCTCCCGAAAACTGACATGGTATAATGTGACACGGGGCGCTCCCAAAATATCACATATAAACACTAGAACATAACTTTTCCGTTTGTGAGAGATAGCTGCAAAAAGGGGACATCAGCATGCAGAAACTTTACATGGCGTTTTTATGAGTATGTCAACGTCCAGGTTATGTGTTAAGAAGCAAGGGAGAAGGAGTGTGTAACTTATAATTTCAAGAAAAGACATAAAATCAAACGAACAATACAACCAATCAGTGTCAAAATATCACAAACACAAACAACAGGTGATCGTTGCGACTAGAGAATCTTTATCGGTACATTATATAACTCTACAACACCACAAATACGCTTAACACCCCACCCCCCCCCCTCTCCCCCCCCCCCTTTCCCCAAAAAGAAACCTGTCTGGCGTATCTTCCATTTAAAAAATCACATTTCTGTCAGGCTGGTAGAATAGCTGATACATGTATACTGCCCAGTTAAAGCCACGAGCGACAGGGACCGTAGCTGAAAGATTTCAGATTTTAAGTCCCCTTGGTAAATTGGCGCCCATGAGATGGATAAGGTGGTTCTCGAGAGACTAACGGACTCTGCCTTTGGAGTGGGTATATTTGAGGGCTGTAGCCTCTACACCGGTAAGTGATCATGAGAACTTAAATGCAACAGCACTGGTCAAATGAAACCGGTTGAACTGTTGTTACTTACAAGGCATATTAAAAGAAACGAATAAGAAAGGATGGAGTGGGACTAGCTTTACTATACCATAGACACTTTAGCTGCAGCACTTAACCAGCTGCAAACAATCCTAAAATACAGTGGGTTGGGTTGGATGATAACGGAGGTTCTGCTGACAAGTGAAGTAAGCGTGCCGCGATGTAGAGTCCAGAACGCAGATTTATTTCTGTCCATGAAAGTTGGTTGACTTTTTGTGATGCAGACGACAAGTGTTAATTTCCTCCGAGAAATCATAAATAAACTG